AGTTTTATACATCGATGGTCGTAGTCGCGGGACTTGTGCCTGGAATGGAAACGGCATGACAAACTACGTGCGACATGTGCCGCGACATGGCTCGACATGTGCTGCGACTTGTGCCTGCGTCTTGTAGGAATGGAAACGTAGCTTCAGTCCAGTATGGTTTCAGCATTGACTATTTCAGCCTCACTGGACTGGAACGTCACATGAACGAACGAACGATGAAACCATGAAAGTAGCCGTTTGCCATCGCCCCGCCGACGTTGGAAGTTCTCCCGTTGGTTGCTGACGTTGCTGTAGATTGGATTGAAACAACTAAACCGACATGACAATATCGTGCAATATTTAAAAGTGTAAAAGTGAAAGAAGTTTTTAAGTATTGAGACAATCATTGTGAAAATCAGTTAATTATTCTTTTTCACGTGCGATTTTAACTTCTAAATAATATGTAGTTACAAATTATGTTTGCTCCACCCGCAACAAGCTTTGATTTGTTAAGAGCACAAAATGCACGCAATCATTGAAAAAAAAATCCACTGTTTTAGAATGTTGAGAGCTTGTACCGTAGAGGCATATTCAGGAACAAATTGTAGCATTTTTAGCCACCATCTTGAATTTACCTAGTCGGGCCTTGGTAGAATCCTCTTAAGTCAACTATTTCACAAGATGTCCTTATTTGTATAAGCTATATTATTGCCACATTCCTATCTATCCTATGGTACCTCACTATAGGCCAAAAGCTGTATGCTAAAAAATAGTTATTTGTGCAACTAGTGAGAAAAGTGAGCAATTGACTCACTCGAGAGAAATCCTTACTCACGAGCCGTAGGCGAGTGAGGAATGGTTTCTCGAGTGAGGCAATTGTACTTTGAACTCGAGTTGCACATTTACTGTACTTTTCCTACAGTTACCATAAAACAAATAAATTGGTTAAGAAACATAACCTATTTTTACACAGAAGTGAACTTTTAATAAACATTTAATGTGAAGTGACAAATACAACAGTACAACAGCTGACCAGCTGATTTACAGCCAGTGCTGGCAACGTATTTCGCGCGCATACGACGTTGCCTGCATGTTACGCGCTCACTATTTCGTGCCTTCACGTTGCAAATCTGGAGTGAGACAAAGTAATTAGAGTGAGACGATGTTAACATTGTCTCACTGATGAGTGAATTGGCCACGTTGCTTTCTCAAATCAGTGAGAGAACATGTACATTGTTAGGTAACTGTAGGAAAAGTACTTTTTTTACTTTACAAAAGAAGGCTGTGAGGTTAACTTGTAGTTTAGACCAACTCATTGTACGCCTCTTTTTGTGGCTCTTAACATTATCACATTCACATGCTGTATGTAAAAGAAAATATGTATCTCTTTAAAAATATATATGATGTTCATAACTGTACACAATCTAAAGATAATCTGTCCACATTAAGGCAAAGGCATGTATACCAGTCACTCAATACTCAAAACAGTTTTGAATACCAAGGGGTAGTTTTGAGTAGGTACCTCTTAAAGTACGTTACGGAATGAACATGATGTAGAATAATCAATAAATTACTTCAACACTACCATTCAGAAATCAGCCTGGGAAGCAAACTCCAAAATCTAAAATCTGTCTCTCAGAATCAAATAATTACCCAATTTATATTAAGAAGAAAGTAGCAGAAAAACGTAGACTACGGAGAATTTGGCAAAATTCACGTGATCCTCTTGACAAAACTCGTCTAAATCGTACAGCTCATAAATTAAAACTATGTTTAGCGAGACTGAAAAATATATGGTTTGACGATTTTACGAAAAATCTAACCCCAACTGAAGCACCCGATTATTCTCTTTGGAAGTCTACTAAATATATTAAACGACCAGTTCAACATGTACCTCCAATTTGGAAACTTCATGGGTCCTGAGCTAAAACCCCTGAAGAAAAAGCGAAGGTTTTTTAAGATTACTTTTCTGATGTATGCCTATTACTCCGAATACCCCCAATGACGAAAGTGAAATTCACGAATTTTTGGATGGACCAAATCAGTTGTCTCTGCCTATCAAATCTTGCACTCCTTCAGAGGTTTCAAGAATAATTTGTAAAAAAATTAACCCCGTGAAAAGTCCTGGTTATGATCTCATCACTGGAAAAAGTCTAAGAGAACTACCCCGTAAAGGCACTATGTTGTTGACATTTATATTTAATCCTATGTTAAGATTGGAATATTTTTCTGTTCAACTGAAAATTGCACAAATAGTTGTTATCACAAAACCAGGCAAACCACCTAATGACGCATCTTCTTACAGACCCGCATAAGCTTGCTTCCTATATAGTATCCAAATTGTTTGAAAAGGTAATACTCAAAAGGTTAACCCCCACTGTAGATTAATTAAGCTTAATACCAGATCTTTAGTTCAGTCCCACTGAACCTATTTACCTGTCTTGACTTGTCCTATTGCATTATCTGTATGCTTAAAGGAATAAATATATATTGTCTATTGTCTATTGATCACCAGTTCGGCTTCCGCAAACAACATTCCACCATTCAACAAACTCACCGATTAGTGGATATTATAATAAAGAACACATTTGAGAAAAAACAGTACTGTTCAGATGCATTTTTGGATGTTAAACAGGCTTTTGACAAGGTGTGGCATGTTGGACTTCTATTTAAACTCAAAACGTCTCTCCCTCACTCTTTGTATAAACTTCTAAAATCATATCTGACCAATCGATCTTTTCAAATAAAATTCGAAAATTCGTTATCTGATCTGAGGCCGATATAGTCTGGAGTACCTCAGGGGAGTTTCCTTGGTCCCTTGCTATATTTGATATATACAGGAGACATCCCTGTGGTCCCCAACGTCACAGTTGCTACATTTGCTGACGACACAGCACTGTTGTCGAGTAATGTGTGGACCCTCAAGTCGTTTCAATTAACCTGCAAGCTGCCTTGAATGAGCTCCAATATTGGCTTAAAAAGTGGAGGATAAAAGTCAACGAAAACAAGTCCAAACATATTGTTTTTGCTCTGAGAACAGGGTACGATCCTCCAGTACCGGTATCCATTAATAATGTAGCTTTATAGCTTTAACGGAGGCAGACAGTGTAGAATATTTAGGTCTAACTCTTGACAAAAAATTAAATTGGAAATCTCATATCTGGTGCAAGAGACAGCAAATGGAGTTAAAAATTCGTAAACTCAATTGGCTACTAGGTACGAATTCAAAATTATCATTGACTAACAAAATTTTACTATATAAAGTTATGATCAAACCAATTTGGACATACGGCATTGAACTTTGGGGGACCTCGAGCAAATCCAACATCAAAGTTCTCGAAATTTAGACCAAAACTGGATTTTTCCCTAAAATCCGGTTTTTTGTTATTATTTTATGTTTTTATGGGAAAATAACATAAGTTACAATAACTTTTGAACCGTAATTTTTACGGAAGTGGGATTTGTAACATTTTGTTCAGAATTTAAAGGACTATAACATACTAAATTGTTATCATAATCGTTCATGCCAATTTTCGAGAAAATCCGATTTCCCCGTTAATTTATAGGTTTTTATGAGAAAATCACACAAAAAAGACAAAAATAATGAAAAAGCCTGGAGATGACGTGGATTAGTACCTAGGCCTAACTTACCAAATTTAATCAAAATCGGACCACAGGTGTGGTCTGTGGCTCTGTACACATCCACAAATACAGACAATTTGGAAAACCACTTTTTTGGGTTCAGGGGGGCATAAAACCACGGCGGCCTTTAACTTCTGGAGTTAAAGGCGGCCGTGCCTAAAACGGATATATCCAATCAAAACTCAAACTCGAAAAATTTGACAAAAACAATACTTTTTGCATATACTATGTAGCCTATAGGGGGATAAAGTAAAAATGCCACTCGCGTAGAAACTCACAAAATACGAGAAAGAAGATTATTTTAGTTTACAACTTTAGTTTTGATGTAATTGTAAAACTAAATCCATCTTGATTGTTTTAGCGAATTTCCCTATAGGGAAGTAGCTATTACCGTAGGTCTCATGGTAAGACCTAGGCCCGGGACCGATTTACTTTTTCATTTTGATGTCCCCAGAGGCCAAAAACACCATTCGTTCAAATTTTTATATATCTATATATATATATATATATATATATATATATATGTCCATCCGCACGATAACTTGAGTAATTTTTGTCCGATTTTGATAAAATTTGGTTTGAAGGTGTAAGGCGAGATAAACTCGAACGAGTTCGCGAACCAGCATGATCGGACTATGGGAACGGGGGTTTACGGGGGGTTTTATGGGGTAAAAATAGGTTTTTCCCATTTTTGACCCAAAAAAAATAAAATTTTGCAAAATCTTTTCAAACCATTTTGTAGAGCTTAAAAAAACAAATAATTTAGTATATTGAAGTGTTACTATGCGCCTAATGGTTACGGAGAAAATTGCAAAAAAATGTAAATTTTAAATTCCCATGTTATTCTTATGGAGAATGAGTAAACTGTTGTAGTTTGCTTGTTTATGAACATATTTTGATCAAATTTGGAAAATGTTTTTATTTCTTACTAACTATTAACATTTTACAAAAAAGTTTTACCCTCCCTGATGCAGCAAACCTAAGTACCTGTTAAAATAATTCTATTTAAATAGGAAATAAATGTTAAATTTTTAAGTAGACATTTTAGTGTAAATCCAATCAGACATATGGAAATTCGCTTAGTCTGCAGGTTTGCTGCGGCGGGGGTATTTTTTTTCCTTTTGACGATTGTCATGAACTGTGTAGTTTTTACGACAATCATTTCATTTTATTGTTATTGTTGGTCGATAGTTCCACTCCTATGACGTCATTGAGGTATACGAAAAGCTGGTCACCGTTGTTCTAAAACGATTTTATGGTTGAAGACAGCTGTTGTTCAGCAGAAAAAAAGAATCGTCTGCAATGTAACCTGCATCGTAGCTCGTACCTCGTTGCCATGGAAACTATCGTGTAAACAATAAATTATGACCGTGATTGTGACATAGATAGTCCAAGAAAAGAGTAAAACTTCAGGATACAAGTTATTGTATTTGTTTGTGAATTATAATTGTTATTTCATGGTTTAATGAGTACATAAATAATTTTAATTTGAATGGAATCAACAACTAGTAGATAATATGTATTGTAATTTTGAATTAGGCCTAGTTGTGTTGTTAATTTACTATGTAGGGTTTTAAATTGCTGAAAAATGGGAGAAGAGGTAAAAATAGAAATAATAAGGACAACTCAAAGTTCTCTTTCAAAGTATATTAAAAAACCTCCTCTAACTGAGAAACTTTTACGGAAACCTCCATTTAGATACCTACATGACATTACTACAACGGTAAGTAAACTAATTTTTATAGTAGGCCTAGCCTAATGAGTTTATTTAAACAGTTTAAGTGATCGCAAAGTTGTTTTAAACCAAGGATTACTTTCTCCCTTTTTGTGAAAAGAATAGAAGCATGAATCTTTCAAATTTCTTGCTTTTTATGTTTTGGCAATATAAAACATTCACAACAGAAAAAATACGTCTATTGATTATAAACAAAAACAATGTTTTGTGAATCTTTTTTTACCATGATTCTCCATAAGAATTTTATTCAACTCTTAGTGATTATTTGGACATAACTGTGACAGTTTACCACAAAATAGCCTAAGGTTGCTTGGTTCTCTTAAACTCATTTATTGGAACGCTTAAAGTTTGATTGCCTCTGGATTGTGTGGATTGACTGGACAACTATGTACCAACTTGTTTTCTGAAAATGATCTGTTGTAGTATCTACAGCTGTTCGTGCTGTTTGAAAAAAGCACATCATCAGGATAGAATGTCTAGCTAATGATCCATAAAATGGTGGAGTTTGACAGTAGATTTAAATTATACAAAACACTTTTGATAATCTATATATATTATAATTTCTACAGTTAATTATTTTTTTTCACTTTAAGAGGATTATTCACTTCTAAACAAGAGCAACTCAAAAGTAAGTATCACATGGATTCTTTAGCTTTTATATTTCTTTATTATGACCCATAGACTTCATTTTGACATACCGGTACCTAACCATTCTATGTATATTTAAGAACTCGATCTTCAAACATCACTTCTTTATCTTTTCTTTACTACAGGTTTCAATAAATGATTACCCTATGTTGTGTCAAATTTTGATTCGGTTCTTTACCAAGGGACGTAGAACGCTCTGTTGTATCCATTAGAGTTTTTGAACTCATATAGAGCCGTTTAAGTTTGTCTACTTATAAACCCATGCTAAAAAGAACTATATTATCATTTTAATGAGAAACTTAAGCTGGGTCCAAAATTGGAGCTCACTTGGGCACCTGCACTATCAAACAAGTTAGCTGGCGAAACTGTCATATTACTCAATAGTCTGGAATCCTTTCAAACTGACTAATAATGAATTTACCGCTAAAGTAATCTTTGCCATGACTTTGAATAAAACACACGGACAGACGCTAACAAAGGAAGGATTGTACGTGCCAGACCTCAATTTTGTATAGGTACATTCGGTTTTTTTTGTGGCTTTGTCCAAAGGTATGCTTTTTTCTGTGAAAACTATGTCTGTGTAAAAACAAAGCCATCAACACAAAAATCGTACATATGGCCAGATAATATAACTTCAAACATAGTTTTAAAAGAGGTCCTGTAAACATGTTAAAACGTAAATAACTTAACATTACATTTTGGAAAAGGTAGTTATCTATAATGTAATCCCTCTCATCTATTCCTGAAGTAAGGACCTATACTGAAATCAACGATGCACTTATTACGCCATTAACTGTAGGCCCATGCTGTGTACTTCAATAAGTGGGCTTTGAGAAGGATTCAGTGATGCGAAAGCTTTGCAATAGGCCAGCTAGTAAGCTCATAAAACGAAACCAATTAAAACTGGATGACCAGATGCTGATTCCAACCAGTGTCAGATCAACCAGTTTTAATAAATGTCTCATTTCAAGTGTTTTTTGTGTAATTTAAATCTCTTGGAAAAATACATTATGGGGTCATTAGCCAGACATTCTAACGTGGTGATGTGCTCTACTCCCAACAGCTGTACTGTAGTTACTATAGTTTTACTACAATGTATTGTTTTGACTAACAACAGGTAATTTTAACCATTATTATCAACTGTAATCATTCGCATGATTTGATAGCCTATCTGAAAGAGGATTCAAAATTACTCAAAATGAATTCAAAATGACTTCTCCTAGACCTAGGAGGAACCTCAAATAAAGTTGACTCAGGAGAAAAGTTGTCATGAAATCGGTGGGCCTAGTTAGTTTTAGCGAATTCTTCCCATATAGGGAATAAGCTATTACCTACCGTATGTCTTTTGTTAATACATGGACCCAGGATCGATTTACTTTTTCGTTTTGAGGTCCTCAGAGGCCAAAAACACCATCTGTTCAAATTCATATATATATTCAGGATTTCGCTGGGCGATGGTGGATGACGATGATCCAGCATTTGCCGTGATCACAGAAGACAATGATGATGTTTTTGTGACCACGGGAGACGAAGATAACGTCTACAAACCCCATGAAATATTGAGGATGTCGCCGGGATGGCGGATGACGAGAATAACGTTTTTGTGATGGCGGGAGACGACAATTAGGTCTTTGATCCGCGGGAGATGTACAGGATTTTTCTGGGGAGACAATGATGATGTTTCCGTGACTGCGGGAGACGATGATAACTACACACCCGCGAGAGATATTCAGGATTTTGCCACAGTCGCAGGAAACGATGTTTTTGTGACCTTATGTAATGATGATGATAATTATCACGATCACGATATTAAGGGTTATTATTTTTGGAACACTAGCTCACTGAACTTTGGAACAATTAGAATTATACAAATGTGATATGAGAGCAAACTTAAACTGTTGACCTTGAATTAATTGCTTGTAGTTTACAGCTAAACATTATCGTGGGAACCAGGAAACAACTTTTAGAATCCAGGAAAACCTGAAAAACCTGGAATCCCACTTATAAAACATAGTGTATACACCCTGAATTACTAATGTTTTACGTTTGGTTTTTGGAGAAGTGTATGTGAAATTTGGGATATTAAGTTGGAATGGTCCAGCATGAGTTGGTATTTATGGTCCAGGAAGAATTTTGTGATACAGTACCTAGTTGTTTTTACATGGTCTTGCAACCAATCTCTATGTCGATGGTGATTTCCCCATTGAGTGAGGTAGGCACCTGCTTTAGACAACGGTTCTTTATTGCGGCGACTTAAGTTTAGATAGATCTTTTACCAGTGGTACCTTATATCATTGACTTTAGATATAAAGTCAATGCTTATATGTGTGCAGGAGTGGGACGTTATGAGCAATGCAGTAAGTTTTTCACAGCATTGCATGAGATCAAGCAACTCACACAAAGAAATAATATGAAATTTTTTGCATTCAAACGAGAATTCATGGCTTTTTCCTTAGCGTCTCGGGTATGGAAAGCTGGACACTCGCCCAGAATTTGTATGCAATGTAATTGAGATACCACAAAATCCAATTGTTTCGGACAATCCTCTTGGTAATAACGGGAATGTGTATGCAATCCTTAAGAGCAAAGACATAATTGACCGCACCATTCTGTGTTAAAAAAATGAAGACTGCTGCGAAATTAATAGTGTAGCGCAATCATCCTTATCCTTATATATATAATACGTGAAGGCGATTTCTACGAAACACTACTCCACACACACAAACACACACACACAACACAAACACTTAATAATTGATGGATTTTTACAAACGATGTGTCAAAATGAAGTATTGTTTGTGCAGATGCTCCCTTTCACCAATTCCTGTAATAAAAGTCCTTGGGCTTTGTACCACAGGCCATCAAAATCCCAATGAATTTCTTATGGATAAAAGATTTTGTTTACTTAAACAGACAAATTTGTATTAATTACAGGTTACAGCAGTTCATAGTAAACACATGATACGATACACACAAGAGCGTTCGTTTTCAGTTTCGATAATTGGAGTGGAGTGATTGATTACATTATCTTTGAGTTGACTCTTTTAAGTCATCGGAAATTATGACTGGTATTCGTTTTGAAATAACGCCTGTAATACTTTGCAATTGCTCGAATTTGAGCAACAGGTGCACTAGTGGACAATATTCCTGGCCAGTGCCAACAATATTTAAGCAGCGATACAACAATATTTAAGCAGCGATAAGGAACTTACGGAAACGACGCTGGGCAAAATAGCTATCCTACCAAATTTTGTAACAGCCTCTCTGTTAGCCACCTCATATACTCAAGCTCAAGAAAAACATCATTGTTATGTAAATCAGGAATCTTGAATTGTCGTCAGGCTTGATTAAAGGACGTAGGTATGCGTGTTAAAAGAATTTATCAAGTGTGAGGTAGTTGGAGCTCATCAGTCATCATCGGGATTTAACACTATCGGGCTCATCGTCTAGCAAGTAAATACTTATTCCTAAGATCATACTGCAGCTATTTAACTCCCTCCTCCCTTTTGCTCTTGAAATATTTGTTCCCAGTTTTTCCTTCCTTTGCCATAAACATCAGCAAATCTCAAAGACAGTTCTTAGGTTTCAGTGTTAAAAGAACCCGCCTTTGTTCATAAAATACACACTTGGTATACGCGTGGTATAATTTTCAGACTTTTAAACAATTAAAATCAGTACGGTATTATATAGTTGTGGCTACATAGTTTTGCCATTAATATGAATCTGCTACTTACTGTCTCAACTGTGCTTTAAATGTAAAAATTATCATATGATGAGCTGACTGTTTGTAAATGTTATATTTGATTTTATTGTAGTTCTTTCTTAATACAAAAGTGTTTCAATGTTATAATCTTATCTTTTAATTAACTTATTTTGTATTAGTATATTTATATAAGGCACAAGCCTTATTTGGTGACCCCTTATTGTACTTTTTATTGTCATTATTTCAATTAGACCATAATGAATAATCAAGAATCTTCTCCAACTCCTGGTACACCACAGGCTTCGCAAATCTCACCAATTCAAGTGAAAATTCCACCATTTTAGACAAAAAATGTTTCACTTTGGTTTCATCAAATTGAATGTCAGTTTTCTCTTCATGGAATTTCAAAAGAAAGAACTACAATAAAATCAAATATAACATGTTAATTTAAACTTACCTAAAATTCAAGTTGATGCTATCTACCAGAAAACTAGATAGAGTTTAACTAAAACATAACTTAATTGGCCAAGACATGAAGATATTTAATATAAAAACAGAAAAAGGTAAAGAGTTTTGGATACTTTATGATTGATATAATAACAAAGACAAGCACATTATAATAATAACAACAATTTATTAGAAAATATATTCGTTAAAATTTTTAGGTGATGAAAGAGACAGGTTACTTACAAGGATTGTACTCCCAAGACGAGTTAAACCCAGAGAATATCAAAGACAGAGAGGCCAAAATTGCTTTCCTTGAAAAACTTATAGCTGCTGTCAGTAAGTAAAGTATTTTAGTGCAATCAAATTACATTGAATGGACTTGCACTAAATATGTAAGCTCCATTAAAATAAGAATTTTCATTTTAAATGGCATTTCATGTTACTGGTGGAGATATTTAACACCTTATATCTAGTCCATGGTTTATTTTATTTTTAGTTCTACAGAGCCCGGATTTAGCATTTTGGAGTCCCAATATTTGTTTTATACCCCCTATTCTGGTTAAAGTTACTTTTCTACAAACCTTTACTAAAAGGACAATTTTTGCTAAAACACTACTCCACAATGTCATATCATTGCAAGGTTTTAGAAGAATTTACTTGGTTCTGGCCTTAACAAAATGCCAACTTAAAACACTTTTAGAAATATTTTGCATTAAATAGGGAGCTAGTGTTTGTGGGACAGAAACAAAACGATCTAACCCATACAGAGCATTTCTGCAACAAAGCATTGGTCTATTTAGACCATTGCTGCCTCCCAGTGGCTTCAAATTACAGACCAAAAAACATTAACTCCGTACAGTACTTGATACCACAGATTAAACATACTCCCTTGGTAAATTTGGCATCCTCATAGATCAGTTAAATTCTAATAACTGAAATGTTAATTCTATTATTGTTATTACAGTCATTTAAGCCTCGTTTAGCCAAATAAAACAATTTAATCAAAAACATTAACACATTCCCTGGTTACATTACAATAAATCGATTATAACAAATCACCCTAGCGCCTAGTGTCACCAACACAAACTAGACATGAAAAAAATCTGTAGATTGTACAATGTGATGGGAAGTCTACTTGTGTTGGTTAGCATACTGCATCTAAATTATATTCACAAAGTATAACAAAGCAATATATTTCGGCAATATATTATTCAAAAGTAAACTGTTGTAGTTTGTTTGTTTATGGATATATTTTGATATTTTATGGAATACTAGCCACCATACCCTGCTTCGCAACGGGAAGAGAACGCTTAAGAGAATAATTATTATTTTATAGATATGTTTTAGGCTATGGAGATAAACTTTTAGTAATCCACTAAAAGTATTAACTTAAAATATTAACTGGCTACTTTCGTTTCCCAGACATTATTTTTTGGGAAATAAACCATACAAATTCAATAGGTTTTTATAAACATTTTGAAAAAAGAAAGTCAATAAGTTAATGAATTACGCTCTTAAAAAATAAAACTCCTCTTATTCACACACTATCAAAAATTATTTATTAAATTAAAAACATAAACATAACTGTAAACAATCCTACTTTGACAGTTCTAATTTTTTATCACAGCTGCTTGGTTGAAATTAGCAAACTGTCAAACAAATTTAGACAAATTAATAGTGCTGCACTCTGTTGGTACATTTTGTAGCCTTTAAATGCTATTGATTATCACAGAATAAAATTGTTAAGTTAAAACAGCTGTTAAAATTCTCAAATTCCATTTAAATATGAGTACTCATAAGGTTAACATGGGAAACTCCAGAGCCACTGGGGCAGAGCCCTTTTGACGGATCTGCACCAAACTTTACACAAACCATCCTTGAATAATGTTTAATAATGCCTGAAAGTTTCATTACAATCTGTCGAGCGGTTTCGGAGTCCATAACGTTCAAATATCTTATCTTACTAATATTATAAATGTGAAAGTTTGTGTGTTTGTTTGTTTGTTTGTGTGTTTGAAGTTCAATCACGCATTAATTACTGTATGGATTGGGCTCAAATTTGGCATGATGATAGCTCACATTCCCGATTAACATATAGGCATATTTTTATCTCAAAAATCCTTTCGGGCTCCGCCCCAGTGGCTCTAGAGTTTCCCATGTTAACCTTATGAGTACTCATATTTAAATGGAATTAAAGAATTTAGTCAGCTGTTTCAACTAAAAAAGGTTGGTTCTATGATATGCAAAGGCATTAAAAGTTATAAGATTTACCAACAGGATGCAGCACTATAATTTTTTTTCCTTTATGAAAACAGCTAATTTGAACTAAGCAGCAACAAAAAACTGTGATACACAATGAGAACTGTCTGTTTACAGTTATGTTTATGTTTTTAATTTCACGAATAATTTGTGATATTTTGTGAATCTTTAATAATTTATTTTAGCGAATTTCCCATATAGGGAATAAGCTATTACCGTAGTACTCATGGTAAGACCTGGACACGGGACCGATTTTTTTTTTTTTTTTGAGGTCCCTAGAGGCCAAAAACACCATCCGTTCAAATTCATATATATATATATATATATATATATATATATATATATATTTATATATATATTTATATATATATATATATATTTATATATATATTTATTTATTTATATATTTTTATATATATATATATATGTCCGTTAGCACGATAACTCTAGCAAAAATGATCTGATTTTGATGAAATTTGGTACAAACGTGTAAACCTACGTTTATTCGAACGAGTTCACGATCCAGCATGATCGGACCATGGGAACGGGGGTTTTATGGGGTAAAAATAGGTTTTTCCCATTTTTGACCCAAAAACATAAAATATAGCAATTTCTTTCCTAACCATTTTGTAGAGCTTAAATTAACAAATAATTTAGTATGTTGAAGCTTTATTATGCGCCTAATGGTTACGGAGAAAATTCCAAAAAATTTTAAATTTAAAATTCCCATGTTATTCTTATGGAGAATAAGTAAACTGTTGTAGTTTGCTTGTTTATGAACATATTTTCATCAAATTTGGAAAATGTTTTTATTTCTTACTAACTATTAACATTTTACAAAAAAAAAGTTTTACCCTCCCTGATGCTGAAGCAAACCTAAGTACTTGTTAAACTAATTCTATTTAAATCGGGAATAAATGTTATATTTTTAAGTAGACATTTCAGTGTAAATCAAATCAGTCAAATGGAAATTCGCTTAGTCTGCAGGTTTGCTGCGGCGGGGGTATTTTTCTATTGTTTGGGTGAAGTGGTAGAACATTATGGCTACGGTAGATGTGGCTATGGTAGATGTGTAATACTATAGTACTATACCATAAATTTAAAGAAGCAAATTTTACCATACTTTGTCCTCCCTCATTGCAAACGCTGTAAGCTTGAGTATAACTGTACTAAGCATTTTATACTTATATGCCACACCCGTACGAAGGATGGGTACTCTGCTAGTATATATATATACATACAAACTTCCTCTTTTATAAATATGGATTTATTTAGGATAAGCTAAATAATATTTTCCTAAAAAACACAATTAATTACCATCTTCGTAGCAGCAAACCTAGGTACTCGTTAAACCTAATTTTATTTCAATAGATTTAAGTGAAAATCAAATCAGGCAAATGGAAATTCGCTTAGTTTGCAGGTCTGCTGCAGTGGGGGTATTTTCTATTTGTAGATATTTAAAAAAATGTTCTCCCCAGGCTCGGACCTCCAGAGAAATATGGCTCTGATCAACTGCTATTTTACCTTGATCTGCCATTGAAAAATATTTGTTTTTTAGTCTCGTTAATCTATTGTCTTTCACTCCATTCATTCTTTTAAGGGGGATGAATCAAAGTTTTTAGTTATCAATGGTCATATTCAAAACTAATTTCAACAAAAATGCTGGATATTTGCAGGTTTTCTTGTATCAGGGGCTTATCATTTTGTACTTGAACCTTTAATCAGCCTCTCCTAAAAGTTGGGAGCAAAGAAAATTGTAACAACTGATTATTGATAGATAATTAGTATAATCATAAGTATCTGATTTTCATTTAATTTGATTATTTTTTATAAAAGCCAATGGAATAGTATGTTTTTGTTGTAGGTTATCCTATGTGTTGTTTTAAATCTAATGTTTCAGATTTGTCCACGGGTATCAGCATTTTAGCACGTCCAAACAAAATAGTGGCAGGCCTAGATGTTGCCAAAACCAACGAGCTGCTCCAAGCAATCGGAAAAGCTTTGGATAAAAAAGTGTGTATCAACCTAATAATTTTTGTTTTTTTAATTGGTCAGTTTCGTAGTCACTGTATCAAATTGGTGTCATAGAATATGTTGACATTTAAAGCTCACTAAAAATAAAAAAAATAAACTGTAACACTTATTTTTTCATGGATTAATTTGTAAAAAAAACCCCGGGATTAATAAAAGGTAAAAGAAGTCAGAAGGCTAATGTGTTTTACATAACGTTGTCACAATGATACTAAGTGGTTAAGGTGTTCTATTATACCTCCACTATAAATCATATTGAAGAATAATCTTTTAAAGTATATAGTTAGTACACATGTACAGACTCTTACTTTAGTAAATGTTGCAAGCTGTATCATTTAATAAAAAGCTTTCATGAATTTTTTTTTCAGATCGATAGCTCAAAAGCTGTTGAGCAGGTCTTAAATAAAAAAAGTAAAGGTTCATCTCAGCAAAAGAAGGTAAAACTATTATTAATTTTGTCATGTTTAAGACACTTGCTCATAAGGAATATTAGCTTTTTAGTCTTTTTATGCTTTTTAACAAAATTAGTAAAACCACACAGTAAAGGTGTATTATACGATCGAAGCAATGTCTCAACATTGACTGACAGTATGTCCACTTGGTCAATAAACATTAGTTATGCATGCAGTGATGCAGAAGTGACCTCCTTGGTTCAGTCAATAAACATAGCAAAAATTCACAAGTCTAATACCAAATGAGATTAGTTAATAAGTTGAGTGTCTACAATAATTTAAAACTTATAGTTTTCTATTAAATTAAATTTTTCAGAGTACCTATGAGAGAATATTACACCCCATTTTTTGGAATTATAAATCATGTCAAAGAGATTGTATGTAAATGTAATACCTGTAGTGATTTTATTGTTAATTCTTGTAGAGTTATGTGGGAATTTGTAAAAAAAAAGGTTCAGGGATAAAGGTTAAATACGGAAACTACGAAATTACTACTAAAATTGATTTTGGGGATAGGGTGATAAATGTACCGGTACCCAATGAAACTGCTGAGTATTTAAGTGTTCAATTTGTTATTGTAAAGGAATATGAAATAATGTGCTTCTTGCTTCTTAAATGTCTTTTTCATCAATGACAAGTACAGTAAATTTTAGTCAAACAAAATTCTTCAGAAGCAGATAGCACAGTCAAATCAGTTTTTTTTTTCTTTTGCCAACGAAATTGGAGTAAGATATATACTATCTTAAGTTTAAGTAATATAGTAATTATTGTGGTTGAGATGAGAATGAGAGGCAAAGATGGGGAAACTAAATATGCAACTTAAAATGTGGTTTGACCTCATTTGGCACCACAAAATGGCCTCCAAAATAAGTTCCATGGAGAAAAATTAAAATAAAACTTACCTTTAGGATATAGGGTGTAGTATATCAAATTCAGAGCCGTCTTTATAAAAAGCGAGGCCTGGGGCAAAGCATAATTGCAAGGCCATGTTTAACAACGCCAACTGGGGGTTCTGGGGGACACCCCCGGAAATTTTTGTAAAATTATACTTGCAAAGTCGTTTGCAAAGAGTTTTGACGAAAAAAATGAATCTTTTACACTTTGAAAATTACCGTTAATGTTATTGCTAATTGCACATATTATTGTTCCAATTCCATCGTAGATATCATAAATATTGTCCACAAAGTTCTTTACTTTTTTATTCATTAATAAAAAAAAAATGAACACTTCTCTTCATTGTGGATTGTCGTCCCGTCACTTTGTAAATAATAAATGCTCATAGGCTATCTTGTTTATTTACTTTTTGTCAAGTTAGGTTTATTGTGTTTTCGGCAGTTGGTCTGTGAAGGGGGTTTTAAAGGTGAGCGTTGGCGAGTGCGAGAGTGTACTCGGTGAGCTCGTCTTCTTTCGCCTTGACTCGGGTCGCCTCGCCTCGTGCTCACCGGTGCTCTGTCTGGAGTTGGTTTTTTGACATTAGTCAAAGGACCCGAGGCTGCACGAGTGGCGAGCGCTACTTCCACATCGAAGTTTGACTCCATTTCGAATGTGAGACAAAGCGAGAGTGTACACAGTTACCTCACATAAGCTTTCGCCCAAATTACTCGGCGAGCGCCTCGTCGAGGCACCTCGGCGAACGGCTAGGCGAGAGTGTACTGGGGGCAATAATCATGACTCATTTACACTCACCGGGGTGGCTCGTTGGCTGCCGCCATCCCGCCGCCGTCGCTGTAAAACGATGTTTGGTATTCTTTTGTGTTTTAAATGTCGTTTGTAGGTTTTTATTAAATCAATACAACAATTGAAATAATTCATAATAAGTAAGACATATTTTAGGCACATGTATCTTTCTATCCTTTATTTTATTATTTTCTTTCTCAAGCATTATCTTATTTTTAGCGATAGTAAGGCCTCACCGGGCAGGCCTCGCCGAGCAGGCCTCGCTGGGCAGGCCTCGCCGGGCAGTTCTCGCCGGGCAGGTCTCGCTGGGCAGGTCTCGCTGGGCAGGTCTTGCTGGGCAGGCCTCGCTGGGCAGGCCTCGCTGCGCAAGGCCATCCCCGGCGCGAGGCCTGAAGCGGCCGCTCCACCCTAAGGGCGGCGCTGATCGAATTCAATGTTTACAGCTGTTTCAAAACAAACTATCTGTCATTGTTTTTACTTTTCTTTCTTTACTTATTTATTTAGCAATTAATGCAGTGAAATTGATATGAAGGATAGGTATGGAAGATTTATTTAATAATGTCAGAACTATGTTGGCATAGCAAATATTTGTTTAGTAAAGCAAATGCTAATTGCTGTGGTAGGTCTCTAGAAAACTGTCCAATAAGCTGCAGGGTGTCAGTAGAAACCAAATTCATACCATACCATATTATCCCAGTAGTACTGTATGGTTCAGAAACTTGGGCCCTGACCAAAGCACCAAAAAACCTTATTGTGCTGGGTTTGAGAATAGAGTGCAGAGAAAATATACCGACCATTTCAAGATAACAGAGGTTAAGATACAAAAGAACAGAAAGCTAAGAGGAATGTTTAAAGACTTAGATATATGGGTGCTTTCCAGAAGTAAAAGAATCGGTACACCACATTGGTTTTGAGTTTACTACTGTTGTATGTTACTTGTAATTTCTGTTTGGTTCACAGGATGGTCCTAAAGATAAGGTTATCAAAGAGACAAAAACATCTGACTCAAAACCTAAGGAGACACGTAACAGTGATACTTTGAAAAAGAAAAGCAAAGAAAAAATTAAAAGTGTGGGAAAACCAGAGTCAAGAAAAAGTAAACAATCATCCAAAGATGTATCACCCCCAAAAGAAACCCCTGCCAACAATAATGAGTAAGTAATATTTATTTGGTTTATGTTTTCAAAGATAAAAAAAAAAACTTTAATAAAACTATGTAAGGTACTTTCTCTGTTTTTCCTTTCTTCAGCTTTAGACCTTTTTTGGTTTTTTTTCCAGGACTCTCATTGACTGTACACTTGTAGAAATTATGATACATTTATTTCAGGACTATTTACAATGCTATTTACACATGTATTCCATTTCGGCTCTAGCGCGGGGTGTACTGGGCTCAACACATCAACCAGCTGCACCGGGCTTAGTACGCCTCTAGAGCGGGGTGTACCAGGCTCAACACGCCTCTAGTACGGGGGAGTGAAAATTTAAAAACGTACGTTTTCAGGAAAAGCACTTTGCAAATTTGTTTCCCCTTTTTTCAAAACTTTTATTATTATTTTTATTTCATTAACATTTTAAGTTTCATAAAATGTCCATGGTAACGCAATATCTTTGGTAGTTTTCTTTTTAAAGAGCATCTTTAGTAGAAAAACACAAAATCCTGTCACGACCATAACGGACGTTTAAATGAATATTAAAAATAGTTAATATTATTTTTATAACTATGTTTTGCTATAAACTAATTTACTTTTATGACCATTATACAATAAAAAGGTCACTGAGCTTTTGGTATATTTGGTCTTTCTAGAAAAAAATTTAAAAAACTCATAAAATAGAAAAAAGCCAATAAAATCTTTTTAAGTTTGTATAACTCCGAAAAAACTTACCTGAGACCCGAAAAATCGTTATGTTTGTATAGAGGTGTGCTTCTTTTGTGTATAAAACATTGAAATATGACGATATTTTAATTTTTGAAATTTTTATGATAGAAATCATAAACGTGATGGTCAGGGACAAGCGGTACGGTCGTGAATTGTCTGGAATAATCTAAATCTTTCCAAACAATCCTTCAATTATACTGTTAGTTATAATAAAACTATGTGTTTCAATTGAACTAAACTGTTCAATTTACAATTATATTAAAGTTATTGTCACGACCAAACTCACTATAATCCATAAGGCTGGATTGGTCGTGAAAAAAACCGCGATGGTCGTGAAACTTTGGTCGTGAAATTACGTGTTATTTGGCTCTGTTCTGGCGGTAGCCCTGCACCTCATGTTCGAGGATACAAAGTGGACTTCTAGGTTGATCTAGCAATTGAAATATCTTATAAAAAAAAATTAACACCATGTCTACTTCATCGAATGACTACGTACGGTCATGGACACACCAAAATTACAAAAAACACAATCTTTCCTTTATTAATCTTGTAATTCCTCCTTTCAACTCAAAACAATCGGCACTACAATCCTGACGTACACCCCGAACTAGTCTCTAAAACCAACTGACTCCATCGACGCCAGGCTTGCCACTGTCGTGCTCCAAAGTTGAAAAATTTTCCCAAATGGTCGTGACGCCAAATCGAGGGACAGACCTTTTTTGTCATGGTAGTCAGTCTGCAATGACAATAAAATTATAATATACTCCTTTTTTGTAAGTTTAATAACCATTGATAACATAAAAATATGACTTTATATATTTCGGCATGAATAATTAGTCTAAAAACAGCGTGAAAGTTGGAAAATGTACCCTAGGGACACGTCATGGTCGTGAATTTCGAGACTTTAAAAATACGAAAAAAATACCTAGAACCTATTTAAAACTAAATAAATGTGTGTAACATGTTGCCCCCGTCCCAAAAAATATTAAAACACATAATAATAAACTACAAATCCAGTATCTACGAAGTAAAAGGCCAGGGACATGAAAACGTACGTTTTTAAATTTTCACTCGGGGACAGGATGCACCGGACTCAACACGCCTCTCGTAAAGGGACGGGATGTACCGGGCTCAACACACGTCTAGTGCAGGGGGGGATGCACCGGTCTCAGCACGCCTCTAGTGTGGGGTGTACCAGGCTCAACACGCCTCTAGTACAGGGGACGGGATGCACCGGGCTCAACACGCCTCTAGTACAGGGACGGGATGCACCGTTCCCAACACACCTCTAGTGCAGGGGGGGATGCACCGTTCCCAACACACCTCTAGTGCAGGGGGGGATGCACCGTTCCCAACACACCTCTAGTACAGGGACGGGATGCACCGTTCCCAACACACCTCTAGTGCGGGGTGTCCTGGGCTCATCTTGCCTCTCGGCTGCACCGGGCTCAACACGCCTCTCTCTAGTATAGGGTGTACCGGGCTTAACATGACTCGAGTGCATACTCCACCGGAGGTGCCTGCCGGCGGGGTTAGGCCTGGAGGCCCAACTGACTTGAGTCTCCCAAGGCCTTATATACGGTCAGAAGGTGCTCTGAGGGTGGGGGAAGGTACCCAGTACCCGGTCCCCAGCGAAAGTCCTGCGAATTTTTTCCTCAGCAAAAGTGTTATTTTTCCTTTTGGGGATTTCACTTGGCACCTTTTCGTTTTCTTGCATTTAGTTGTTTTATTGTAAATTTTGTGCCCATACCTTTGCCTCCAGAAACACTTCATTACAACTATTTAGAATTTGTTTTTCTACTGCTTGATTGATCTTAATATGAAATATTGCAGCACATCCTTTGGTATCTATTTACTACATGTTTTGCAACAACTACCACATCTTGAGGTATATTCTCTCCTATGATTAATCTCAATACCAAATTGAAGATTGAACACAGAATTCACATCAACAAAAAGACACATTCAACACAAAAACAATACATTTTGGTTAGAAGCCAAACTTAAATTCATTGATGACGTTGTATTTAAAGCATGTATAGTTTTTGTGTCATATGTAAATTTAAATACGTAAAATTTAACTCAATGGATTATTGCATGCTCATAAATATCTTACATTTCACAAATTTTATTTGTTTATAATTTTAATGCATCTATTTACCGTTTCATCAAAATAAGATTGGTTGATGCATAAGTAATTTTAATTTAATTTTTATAGAACAATTTCTTTGACTCTATAATAAGGAATGTTTTTAGGGTTTGTACAGACACATGTGCTCTGGACTTTATATTTACTGCACATAAAACTCAATGGCAAGGGAGCAGCAAACTTATAAGCAGACGACACATACCATTGTAAATTTAAAAGAAAAGTATTAAAACTTCATCATTTACCACCCTTAACCAATTTCAAGAACTTTAAAAATTGCAGCTAAAAATTGATTTACCAATTAAATAAATGCAATTTCTATAAGTATCAAAGAGGATGTTTGTATATATATATTTTTGGCAGTGATAAACTCAGACACCGCTGAACCGATTGCCACGAAACTTGGTACATACGTGTAGAATTTCATGGAATAGGTTTATACACCATCAATTTCGTGATCCGTCCAATCGGCTCCGCCCCAGTGGCTCTGGAGTTTCCCATGTTAACCTTATGAGAAATGGAATTAATGAATCTTAACAGCTGTTTCAATTAAACAAGTTGGTTCTGTTCTATGATGTTCAATAGCATTAAAGTTACAAGGATTACCAACAGGGTGCAGCACTATTATTTCTTTTACATTTATGACAACAGCTAATTTGCAACCAAAAGGTGAGTGAGCATAGCGAACGAACTTCAACCTGGAGGCGAGTTAGCGTAGTGAACGAGCTAACCTGAAGGCAAGTGAGCGTAGCGAACGAGCTAACCTGAAGGCAAGTGAGCGCAGCGAACGAGCTCCAACCTAAAGGTGAGTGAGCGTAGCGAACGAACTTCAACCAGGACGTGATTGAGCCATGCGAACGAGATCATCTTGAAAATTAAGAAGTTAAACGGGGCAAAGCCCGCGGGTTACAGCTAGTATTCTATACATATGCTTACTTACTGTTAATTGTTTACTCTGTGTCTTGTAGATCACCAAAAGAGAGAATCAAGCCTGATGAAGATAAGTCTGAAGTCCCTACCACAGTTACAGTTGGTGAAGAGTCATCTGATGTGGAGACAAGACAACTCCACAATCCTGAGCCCAAACATGATGTTAAACCTCCACCTCCATCTCCCGCAGTTGGCTTGGATAATTCAGGAAATAGTGAAGACAAAGAGGAAAGTAAAGAGAAAAAATCTAAAGAGAAATTTAATACTAAAACTAAAGACTTAGACACAAGTAAAGATCCTCTGAAAAGCCAAGATCTACATTCAATAGTTATTTCAAATGATCTAACAGACATTACTAAATCTTGTGAGGAACCTAAACGACCTCAGTCTGCTCGAGCTGTTCATCGTAAGAAATCTACAAGTAAGAAAATTTCTAAGCCTACTAAAATTTAAAAACTGAAATGTAATTGTAACTATGCAAGAGCATACGTGTGTGTGTGTGTGTGTGTGTGTGGATGATTGGATTGGGGCTTTCTCTGTGGTGTAAGGGATGACAGAGAAGGTGATAAGGTTCTAACAGACAGGTTCTTTATTTAGAATTGGAGAAATATTTCTAGTTATTTGTCTGTCTTAAATCCAATAATCCTGATTTATTTTCACTGGTAAAAGATTGTTTTGGAAAATACCATTGTATCCTATTTGTAATAGTGTAATAGTATATTCGTTACTAGTCCAGAAAATAGGTATTTACCGGAAGAGTTTGGTCATTCCCGTGCGAGACGAAGTTGAGTGCGGTATTACCATTTGAGTCTGGTAAATACATTTTGGACGAGTGACGTATGATATTTTACGCCATATTACTCTATGCTAACTTAACAATAAAATATCCTTATACCCACCGACTAAAGGATTAACAATCACTACTCATAGAGAGGTTAAGTTTTTGTTTATAACCACTCATTGCCAAATATAATCAGCTGGTTGGTGTCCAGTAAAAACTCATTACAGTACAGTAGTATATGTAATGAAACCCCCCATTTGATTAAGCTGGCAGCAGCAGCTGATTGATTGATTCTGTAGGGGCGGACCTTGTCCTGTTGCACGTCAGCCACTGATGGGCTTTTTGCGCTCCCCACATGGTACTTCAGAGTCCGTCAAACCTGAGTTGCTTAATGAACTCCAGCATCCTGTCAATGAGCTCCTCTTGAGGAAGGTGTCTGCCCCTTGTCATTGCACCAAGAGTACTGTCCCTTACCTCATTCAGAGCTGTGCAGTCGTAGAGTAGGTGATCAGCAGTCTCCTCTGATTGCCCACATTTCCTACACGCAGTGTCACCATTGTGGATCCTCAAGCGATGCAGGTGTAATTTCAGAAAGCCATGTCCAGTGACCATTCCCAGCAGCTGTTTTCTGGACTAAATCCATGCGTGGCAAGTTTGTTAAAACATTATATTGTTCCACTAAAAGTTTTTGCCACACTACACTGTTTTAATGAACTTTACACCACACTACACTATTTTGACGAACTTCCTACGCAAGGATTTAGTCCAGAAAACAGCTGTTTGCCGCCAGCTTAATCAAATGGGGTTTCATTGCGTACTACTGTACTGTAATGAGTTTTACCGGACACCTATCAGCTGATTATACTGTATTTGGGTGGCAATGAGCGGTTATAAATTAAAGCATAACCTCTCTTAGAGGTTATGACTAGTGATTTTTAGCCCTTTAGTTGGTGGTAATATATAAGGATTTGTACGGATTTAGTAGTATGGCGTAAACTATTGTACGTAACTCGTCAAAAATGTGTGTACCGGACTCGTATGGTCATCAACAACCACACTCATCCGGCAAACACTTATTTTCAGGACTTGTAACGTAATATACTATTTCACACAAGGATTTTTTCCAGAAAACAACTGTTTGCCGCCTGCTAAATCAAATAGGGTTACTACTGTATACTACTGTACTGTGTAATACATTTTTACTGGGCACCAGCTGATAATAATTGGCAGTAAGTGGTTATAAACGAACACATAACCTGTCTTGGACGTTATGAGTAGTGATTGTTAAGTCATTTAGTTGGTGAGAATATTAAGGATTTGTACAGTGTTTTCATTGTTAGCTTAATTCAGAGTAGTATGGCGAAAAATATCGTACGTTACTCGTCCACAATGTGTTTACCGGATAATCCCGTACTCAGCTTTGTCTCGTGCGGAAATGACCACACCGTATTGTAAAAACATATTTTCCGTACTAGTAATGTAATCCTTATATACAGGGTTTATATAAAGTCCCGCACGGGCTTAATATTTTTTTAACGACAACAGATAAATCAATAAGATTTGGTGAATCAACACCACACCTAAAAATCTACTTTTTCAAGGAACTATCAATTTTCTGTCATATCATGGGGACGTCCCGCAAGGAGTCAGAAGGAAATCTTAAATGGAAGCATGGGTTGGCATGCACATCAAATTAAAGGTCTTCACTAGTAGATTACAATGCCGTAATTTCAAGCTCAAAAGAACGCCTGAGTAAAAAATGGCAGTCGTTCAAAGATTCAAAATGGCGGATTCAAGAAATCTTTGAACGGCGGCCATTTTGCGCAGGATCAACCTTTTGAAGTGCGGTTTGCGGCATTGTATTCTACTAGAAAAGACCTTTCATTTGATGTGCATATTGACCTATGCTCCTATTTAAGATTTCCTTCTGACTTCTTGCGGGACGTCCCCATGATATAACAGAAAATTCATAGTTCCTTGAAAAAGTAGATTTTTAGGTGTGGTGTTGATGTGCCAAATCTTATTGATTTATCTGTTGTCGTTTATAAAATATTAAGCCCGTGCCGGACTTTATATACACCCTGTATAATACGTGAAGGCGATTTATACGAAACACTACTCCTCCGTTAATAATGGATGGATTTTTACAAACGATGTGTCAAAATTAAGTATTTTTTGTGTAGACGCCCCCTTTCACCATTTCCTGTACCGTAATGAAAGTCCTCAGGCTTTGCTCCACAGGCCATCAAAATCCCAATGTATTTCTAATGAGGAAATATTTTGTTTACTTAAACAGACGAATAATTTGTATTAATTACACCTGTTCATAGTAAACACATGATACATACGAGAGCGTTCGTTTGCATAGTGAGTTAGTTTTTAGTTTCGATAACTGGAGTGGAGTGAGCGTTCGTTTTCAGTTTCGATAACTGGAGTGGAGTGATTGATTACATTATCTTTGAGTTGACTCTTTTAAGTCATCGGAAATTATGACTGTTATTCGTTTTGAAATAACGACTGTAATACGTTGCTTAGTCCATGGTAATACTTTGCAATTGCTCGAATTCGAGCAACAGGTGCACTAGTATACTATTATTGAGTGCCTAGTGTCTACCTACTTTTGTAGTATGTGTCTATATTATTTATATAATGCAAACTTTAAATGTATTTTCAAAAGAGTTATGTAGCCTAAAAATTACGAATTACCCTACTGACAAAAATAGACAAACCCCGCACAACTTTTCAAGTGGCACTGAGCTCCTTTTCGGGTGGGGGAAATTGACTTGGACGGGCAGTACAGTCAGAGCCGAAATGTACATTCTGTTACAAAAGAAGTATTTGTCATTGTAATATTCACGAGGGCATACCGTTCTAGTGGTAGTGGGAGTAAAATAATTGAAGTTTTGATGTCAGTGTTGCCATCTTGAGTATTTTAATTTCCCCAAAATATCAATCTCTGATGCTGCCCCTTGTCTGAAGGAGCCCCACTTTCCTCTATTTGAGTGGCAACTAGTTTTCGTTCATATATGAACCATCTTCAAGCCTACAATAAGTCAACATCTTATAGTGCAGACATTTCTCAGCCTGGTCGCGTTGCTTGTATGTAAATTTTCTTCCGTCCTTTTAACTTTTTATGTACATTATATATTCCATTTATATGTGATGTGTTCGTTTTTGTTTATTCGTTTTAATTGAACTTTATTGATGACCTTCAAATGAAGTGATTGATGCAGACTCTTTGTAGGCCTGCAGATGGTTTATCCATGAAACTAGTTGCCTCTTCAGCAACCAAAGATTACTTTATGCAGATCTGTATCCAAGCAATTTTATAGTAGTTTACGCAACGATTGCGTAAAGATAGCTTTAACAACACGAATAGAAAATTTGAGGTACGAGCCTTGGCGAGTGGCTTAAAAAATTCTACGAGGGTCATTAAAACTATTTACGCAAGTTGCGTACACTACTTTACATAGGACAGTGTTATATTTCCTAAAAATCACTACTCATAACTTCTAAGAGAGGTTATGTTTTCGTTTATAACCATTACCACTGACAGTGATGCAACGAAACATGGTACCTACCAAACACTAATTGCACCACTCAACAATTGAATTGGCCTGAACAGCTGATTAGTTGGAGTTAGAATCATTACAATTTTACTTCTTCTCTCTCAATCCTTGAACCTCATTGGTCTGTAACATGTGTTGTTAAGAGTAAAGCTATGCTGTTATGAAAGTAAACAATGCTGTGATGTGAATCTTTTCAATTCAAAGAACTGAACTGAAACAGCTTCTTTAAAAAAACGGTCGTAGGTAAAAGTATTTGACTGTATATTTATATTTTCATCTTTATTTGTTCTAGAAAAACCTATTTCTACTGAACCTTGTAATAGCCAAGACGACAAAAAAGAAGAAGTGTCATCATTGGAAAAAGTAATATCCGGTCCAAAAGAATTATCGGCTTTAGAGAAGAAACCATTGGAACAAGAGACCCCTCAAAGGTATTTATTTGGTTGCAAGTTTTCAATGACATTTTTATGGAATAGAAGTAAAGCTTCTTTTGTTAGTCTAGTAAATAGAGTGTGTCAGGTATGTTTTAACTTTGGAATGTTTGTCTTGTTATAGTTTTATTACTGTGTCTACTTTCTGGACTGTGTTTTACTTATACTTGAGTATCCGTCTACAGGATTTTGTCAGAGGCGATTTTGAAGATTTGCCCCCACTGGGCTATCCACAATCCCCCCCCCCCCCCCATCATAAGCAACCGTGTAAGTTTATCTTGGTTCTGGGGCGGGTCAACGCCGAATCACATCACAGTGGTCAAAGGAGTGACGTGTGTGCCTCAGCTCACTTGTCTATTACCACTACAGTAGCTGAATCTTCACTAGCTTGACTTATCTTATTCTTATAATTTTTTTCATTGCATACCTACTCATTAGTAATTAATTACCTTAGCCATGAGAATAATTTTAAATTAAAAAATAAACAATTAAGAGGTTTGGTTTGATAACGAGATTTAAAATATTTCAAGTAAAATGATGGTTTTTTAAATGATCATAGTATGTAACATTGTTTTACAACATAATGGAGTTCATAATATGACGACTGCTTTAAAAAATATTATTTTAGAAGTCGAGAGTTGTGTGTCTTAATTGAGACCAATGATTGACTTATAATCAAATAATTTGTATAGCTAAATTAATCACCTCAAATTAAACTAAGTTTTTTTTTACTATTAACAATTTGATTCCACACCTACTCCAATAAAATAAAGTAGTATTTAGATTAATCCTAAATACTGTACTAATTTATTTTATCGGAGTAGGTGTGAAATCAAATTGTTAATAGTAAAAAAAATAAAAAGGTAGTTTAATTTGAGGTGATTAATTATTTTGTTATCAAAATTTTATTGAAATAGCATACTGAATAAGCCTTACATGACCGGTGACAGTATTTTAAAATATTGCTCGCATGAGTAACTCGCGAGCCAATGGGTCATCACGCCACATCGCTGTCTGCTGATTCAAACGAGTCCATGGCTGTTTTCGGGGATGGAAGCTTGGTTGAGAGATGTGTGATAGTGCGTGTTGTTGGTAGAGGTTGAATGTGGAAAGGTTTGATGATTAACAGTAGCTGACTGAGCTGTCTGACTAAGTAGTTACATTTATGTTTCATATTCAACCCTCGACTTTCCTAGTTATGAAGTTTTTTTTTTTATTTAAACTCAATATATATTTAAAATTCCAAACTAAAAAAAAACATACTTCTACAATTTGCCGCCCTGGGCTGCAGCCCCTCCCCCCCCCCCTAATCCGCCACTGGATTTTGTTGTATATGGACCAAATTAACTGGTGCTGTAATATTAGGAATATATTTATTCTCTTATACCACCATATTATAAATTATGAGTACTCAGACACGTTTACAACTGTGATTTCCCTACTGCGTATGATTATCTGTAATTTAAGGTCTCCAACCAGCTCCAGTCAGGACTAAGCAAGTTAGTTCAAATCTGACAATAGCATTGTGTTCTTTATATTTCCCCAGTATTAGTAGCTGGTTCCTACCTCTTCACAATGAGTAGCCTTGGTTGCTGATAACAATGTGAGGAATAATTAAAGAACCTGTCAGTTATGAATAACACTCTGTGATTAAGATTTCTGTGTGATAAGATTCATTGTTTCTTAGAGGATTTTTTTTTTTGGAATGGAATAGAGTTCGGCTACCTTACCTGAGTAAAATAGAGCCCCGTGGTTAATATATACAATAAAAAAAAACACAAAACTAAACATAACACAACATTTCGTCCTGGAGTAGGACTTTTTAAGAGAGTAAGTTGAAGAGAAATCTGAAGAACTCTGGTGGAGTAGGACTTCTTAAGAGAGTAAGTTGAAGAGAACTCTGAAGAACTCTGGTGGAGTAGGACTTCTTAAGAGAGTAAGTTGAAGAGAACAACGGTCTATTTACTGAAACACTGCCATCATGATACATATATTTACAATGGTCATACTCAGCAGAGTGTACTATATGAAATACACTACAAGTGAGGGGATTTTTAAAAATGTATCTTGACGTAACTGAACACAAGATTGCTGAACTGATATGGATTGTCTCTAAGAAAACAAAGGATAACAGTAAACGCTAGTAGTCTTGAACATGCAAACTAGCAAAGTTTCCAAAACTTCTATCATTGTAAACACTTCTAGTAAACACCTACTGCCGGCTTCATAATTGAAATATGTAAAAAATTCTGCAAACGCCATAAACCTCTTAACATATGTTTTACATCCAAACACTTTTCCCCATACACATCTGACTCTTTCACACAGAACCCTAGTTATAGAATGTCATTCATTCTTTGCAGGACCAATAAATTTACCTTACATCGTTATCGGCTATGATAAAACTAATTTGTTCATAGGGATGAGAACTGGCTAGAATAGTAGATGGGAGGAGTAAAGAACATGATGCTACAGTCAGATTTGAAAAAGCTTGCTTGGCCTCCACTGGGTTTTTTTATATCTTATTTCATAGACAACCCTCATATTTGTTTCTTGATATTTACTTAACTTAAAGTGACACATTTTTTGTAAAATGACACATGAAACAAACAAACAAAAACTTCAAAACAAACTTCAAATATTGTATTAGGATGAGAAGTCTACTAGCACTATTCTAGGTCAAGAGTTTAACAGACTTGTCATTTGTCAGCAGTACCAACGTAGCTGCAGTGGCAAGAGAGACAAAGAGACCGAGAACAGCAGCTCGACCGGCCAGCGCGAGGCCCGGGGCCCCGAGAGTGAGAGACAGAGGCATGGTACAACTCAACGACACTGACAACAAGTGAGTAATACTTCTACACACAGGTTTATCAGACCAACCAATCAAGTGGTACAGGTTCCCCATTTTTATGTTGTAATGTGAGCAACCCGCCGGTGTTTAAATATTATAATTACAATGAAATGACTAAATATTTGTTATGTATAGAGGGTTAAACGTATTTTGTTCGCTATATAGGGGCACATTTTCTATTGACTGATATGGTGTTCACACAGGAATTGTAAAATATTACGTTATATAGAGCAAATCGTTACATCAAGGCTTGACATCGAGGAGTGAGAGTAATCCCACATGTAGAAGTTGTGCTGCTGTTTTATTCCATTTTAAACAAAGTAAATTTAAATTTTTTTTTGTTTAGTATTTTTTGTTTGGTTTTTATTGGGTTTAAAATGTGAAATTAAAGTCCATAGAAGTTAGAGCATTTAAGGAGGAAGTGAGAAAAATGTATATAATTGCATGAAAATCTTTATAGAAGCAGACAAGAAGGGTATCTATCATGGAGATAATGCGGGTGAGTTTGACTTTGGACATTCCTGGCTGGCTTATCCATCCACCTGACTCAGTGCTATGCAATGTCAATGTCTGTTATGTAATGTTATGTGCTTGAACTGAACTTGACTCTGACACATGGATTTGTTTGTATTGGTCCTGCTTTATTTAATAAAATAATAATCCAGGAAAAATCATATTTTCCAAAGTTTAATCCTAATAAATTTAAAAATTAAGGAAAGCATTGATGAGACTGTTTGTACCACATAAGTTGTGTAAAATCTTATAATTTGTTTGGTTCAGCTGTCTGAAATTGTGAAATAAGACTAGCGTCTCATTTTCCCTTCCAGAAACTGATGAGAACCTTTTCTGTGAAGGAGTGGGGGATTGTGGGAGAGCCCCTCACGTTGATTTAAGAAAATCTTTAAATTTATTTAATAATATTTTAGTTAGAAAATTTACTTTTTAATCATAAAATTAATTTTAAAATTTTTAATTATAAAATTAAACTGTCATAACCTTACCTAACCAACCAAACTTGCTGATCATATAAAAAGATATAAGATAAAAATCGAATGAAGGTTTACTAATAAAAAAAAAAAAAATAGTTCTGTTCATAAATAAAATTATAAATGCCTCAAATTCTAGCAAAAGATGTACAGTACAGTTAAGAAGTATTCGAATTCTAAGCAAAAGCTTGAACAAAAAGTTAGTGTCACCAGCAAGATTCGAACTGGGGACCTCCAGATCACAAGTCTGAGACACTATCAACTACGCCACAAACACCGATGGAAACATTTCGTCTCGTTACGGTAATGGTGTTCCCTCAAGAGCAGAGTGACGTCACGCCCCCCACTCCTTCTCTAAAGAGGTTCTCATCAGTTCCTGGAAGGGGAAAACTAGGCGCTATAGTGAAATAAGCATTTTGCAGTTCTTATTGTTTACATTGAAATGTCAGCACAAAGTTAAACATTGTGAATTTTCTCATGCTTCTATGGAGACCAATTAATATTTACTTTTGAAAACCTCATCTCAAAACTTTGGACATCCAAGGGGCTCAAAATAAATTTAAAAAAGGAGAAACATTATTTACTATGGTCAAGGCACTCACTGCCTCGCCAGCAGTAATAGAAAAACATTCACTTGAGTTCTAAACTACCTGAATATGATGTAATATCCATGGTACACAATATACAGATACTGTGAACAAACTTGATGTCAGTAGGCCTATGTTTAATGACATCCTATTTTACTGGACCCTCATTTCATTGAGGTTTTATTCCATTTATACCTTCAAACCACGAGCCCAGGATCAAAACAGCTAGAGAAAGCCTATACTAGAAAGCTTTGTTCTTCTCCTGTGACATCAAATATGCCAATGGTGATATAGGGACGTAGCCATGTCATTGACAAGTCTTCTTGTTCTTTTATAGAAAATGCAATTTTGCTGTTTAGTACTTCTTGTTTTTCATTATTTGAAAGTGTGTTTCCTAACAGGTATAAAAACAGCAAGTCTTCTTAAACTTTAAAACTAGTTTTATATTATATCTATACATTTGAGGTTTGTGTCGCACTAAATGAATGGACACATTTTTCAGGCAAGTGAATGAACCTGTGAATTTAATAGTAGATTCTATTGACCTTCCTAAAGATGATGATGAAAGCTTGGTGATTGTTGAGGCTCCTTCATCAGAGGGTGTAGTGGATCAGGTAACTTTACATTATCACTTTCAGCAGTAGCAGTACTTTCCAGAAATATTTTTAACAGAATTCATTAGCATCTCTGAACAAAACTTCTAGAGAAACAATTTAGTACATTATTAATTAACACCTCAAATACCATCGGCACAATGAACTCTAAGAATCACTAGATACTGTATTCACTTTAGACTGCTCATATTGTGTTGTTGACACTTGACAGTCAACAGATCATTACGCTCAGCGCTTGTTGTGGCAATAGTTAGAACTACTGTTTGGACGGAGTCCCAAACGCTCTATATCTATTGCATTAGAACCTGACTCAGCGCTGTGATTGGTTGAATTCTTCCATGCAGTTTATATGGGAGTTTGGACTCATATCTACTGAGTCCCCAAGTACTTACTACCTATTGCAAAAACATATTGCGTCCATTATCACCCGTCCCAAAGATATTGACCCTTCTAACATGTATGTACATTCAGATGCAGGAATAAAATATCATAAAGTTAATTATTATTATTTATACTTTTGTCTTGAAAATGGGAGGACTCTGTCACAGAGTCCTTATGGACCAGCCGTCACTGACTTTTAGGTTGTAACTAATCATTTCAGTCGGCTTAGATAACTTTATAGTTAACAGAAAATCTGCTACACAAAATATTAATCATTTATCTGTTGATTGCCACATCTTGGTAACCATTAGGTGCAGAATAAAAGTGTGATATTTAAAATTGACTGTTTTTTTTTTTTTAGCTAATTTGAACAGTAATAAATTATTGAAATTTATATAGGACCTAGGCAGAAAGTCTAAAAACCTGATTTTTGGGGAATACAACGCTCCCTAAATCCTATTATCAGATTGGGCTGATTTACTGATTTGGAAACTTGTTAAATTAAAATTGCTATTGGGCTTCCTAGTCCCTTTTAGTGTGATCTTAGTTGAGTATGCAGTAATAAAGGACGGCTGCCGAACTGGTTGAACAATACCTGACTTAGGACTTGCTGATAGACTTTCTATAGTGTTGCTGGAATAGAATCATAAAGTAGGAATGTTCCGGCTTAGTTTATCTCTTATACCTACAAAACACAATAAATTTTTTATTGCTGTATTGTTGTTCTGAAGTGCATGTAATATTTTTTTAGGTGGTGGGTGAAAACCAACTACTATCAGGGGATCAAGGACATCTAGTATCTCAGATTTTAGAAACACAGAAGGAATTAGAAGAAAATGTTAATTTTGAAACCGGACTGGATTATATTCAAAAAGTTGATATTGTAGGTATTTTATAAAGAGTTTTTAAGAGTTATTTCCAATAATATTAATTATATCATCACTCATCACAAATAACTGTAGCCGTTTTTTAGTTAGGTCGAAAATTGATTACCCTCTTAAAGCAGATTGCTACATTAGAATCAGCAAAATTATCGTGCAATTTTGGATTTAAGTTACATATACAGTCAAAAAAATTCCCGGAATGAATATCTGTAGACATGTAGCGTGATCATCAGCGGGAAATTTGCCTTGCAGGAATGGCATATCGGTAGTGCGGGTATAGCTGACGAGCCGTAGTGCAGCATTGGTAAGCGCTTTTCGTGTACCTGCAAGTCTACATTATCGGTAACTGTCAGTCGTGTACCTGCATTGAAATATGGCATTTCATGAACAGCGTACAAACATTAAGTTCTATGTTTTCTGTGTATAGTCAATGGTTTTACTTAAAAAACCACCTAGTGAGACTCTTGAGTTGTCAATTCAAGCTTACAGAGGAAAGAATATGAAGAAAAGTCAGGTTTATGAGTGGTACAAACAGTTTCATGACAGCCTTGAAAGCATCGACGATGACCCTCATAGTGGACGTCCTTCAACAGCAGTCAATGTTGTAAACATTGAGCGAGTAGGCTATGAAGTTGTGTGTGAAAATCAGAAATTAACAATCGATGAATTTCCAATTGACATTTATCTCATGGAAGTGTTCACACCATCCTTCATGGTCATTTGAACATGCATCGAATTTGTTCACGAATGGTTGCAAAACTGCTGTCTCCTGAGTACAAAGACACTCGAATGTTAATGGCTGGTGAATTAATTCATTTGGTCCATGCAGATCCAAATATTTGAATAAAATTGTGATTGGTGGCAAAACATGGTGTTATCTCTACAACCCTCTACCAAAACGACAGACCTCTGAATAGAAAACAAAAACATCTCCAAGTAAGGAAATATTTCCTGTGGACAAAAACAAAGGAAAAGTGATGCTTGAGGTGTTTTTTTTTTCAAAAGGAATTCACTACAAGTTTATCCTACAGGGGCAAACAGTAATCAAGGTAATTTACATCAAAATTCTCAGGCGCTTAAGAGATGCCATCAGAAGGAAACGCACTGAAAAATGGGCGGGAAACAATTGGATTTTCCTTCATGACAACTCACATATGGTCACTGCTAGTTTAAAGTTGGAATAAATAGTACAGGATGGGAAATAGAAATAACTACTTTTTTAAGAACTTTTTATAATTTATTTAAAAACTCACCTGCCAGAAGGTCTTATATGTACAGTTATCTAGATCTAAATTGTTTCCTCTGCAATTTGTTAAGTAAGATGGGTTGAAAGTGGACCTGTAGCAGAAAGGACATTGAAAATCTTACCCAACGTAATAAAATATCTTACAGATACGGCTCAAGAACCCAATTCCTACAGTTTCAAGGTTGTGAAGGGAAAAATAAAATACAAAATGTTGTCACCTAAACTTGCATTCTTTTCATATATGGCCTCAATCAATGATAGAGCCTTTTCTTCGGGAATTCCAAGGAGATCAGCCGATGGCACCTTTTTTTGTATAAAGAATTAAATGCACTAGTCTTATCATTTATGGAAAAAATTGTAAAGGAAGAAGTTTTAAAAATTCTAAAAACAGAGCGGAAAAAATCCAACTTACTAATGAAAATCTTAAACCTGCTAAAACAATAGATATAGGCTTTGCTACACGTGACACGCTCAGATGAAAAAAAACACAATTAGACATACAAACCTTCCGAAATGAATGCAGAACGGCTATTGTAGCCATGACAAAAAAACTCATGAAAAATTCTCCACTTTATTAAAGTTTAACGAAATACATTTCTTTTTTGGATCCGGGAACAATTGGTTTTGATAGAACACTTGCCGAGGTTAGATTAACAAACTGCTTGGAGTCGTTTGTTACAAAAAATCTAATTTCTGGAATCAAAGCTGACTCCATTAAGAATCAATACAAAGAAATATTCATCTCTGAAGAAAGTGTACAAATGTGCAAAAAGAACAGAAGAAAAGAGATCTGACTTGACAAGTTTTTGTTTGAAATGATTTGTAATTAATAACGGAGGGACGAACAGTGCAAACATTTGACAGACTTTTGTACCATCATATTGACGCTGTCTCACAGAAACTCTACAGTAGAGCGAGGTTTTTCCATTAACTCTGAGTGCATTGTGGAAAAAAGTGCGTGAAGGAGAAAAGTTTGGTTGCCTTGTGCCAAGTCTACGATGGAATCAACTCAGCTGGTGTCCCAATAGAGGAATTTGAAATAAAGAAGGAGCTGGTTCATTGGCAGAGAGATTCAGGCGTCTGGAGCATCCCTCTGGACTATCTGGAGAAGAAATTTTGAGTCTCTAAAGCCGGGTTTACACGATGCCAGTTGGCGAGACAATTGCCAGGAGACAACTGACTGGCTTGGAATTACTGGCTTCGTGTAAACACTTCAGGCCAATTGGCAAGCCAATTGTCCCGCCAACTGTCCCGAAATTCAGTTGTCTCCGGGAGTAGACTGAGGACAATGAGCTGGGCCCAGTGAGGCCCCCACCCCTCGAAAACCCAGTTATCGTGACAATTGGCACCGTGTAAACGGTGTAGAGGCCAATAGCACTGTCTTGTCTTTTAGCAGTAGTACCCTGGTTCACTGTAAAATGCCTGGGCAAGTGTTGGCCACGTGTGAACAGGTTCTCGTTCAACTTGCCTGGCCTACGACAATTCCAAAACCACGTGATGCCAATTGGCAAAGACAATTGTCTCGCCAACTGGCATCGTGTAAACCCGGCTTAAGAAGTCAACTTAGCGTGAGTTTAGTCTCCAAAATCATTTATTTCATTTTAGTATCGCGCTTGTGTGTTGTGTATGTGTTGCATCAAAGTTTAGTTACCATGGCCTGCTGTCACTTTTGTGGCAAATTAGGTACTGCAAACATCAAAGTGAAATATATATGTATCAATTTAAATGTATTTGTAACCATAATTTATTATATTTCTAAATCTGCTTGCTCGCTCGCAAAATAATTAAAAATGTCTTAAACATTTAATTCTCTCTCTCTAGAGAGAGATTGTTTGAATTTAAAATTTAGTTGTATTTAATTAAATATTATTTCATTTATTTAATTCCATTTGACAACATACACTCCATCTCCCTTATTAGTTGATTATCAGACTTTTAATTTATTTTTTTTGCGTAATTTATTTTTAACTTTGTAGACTACCTGTTTAATACAGATAAATAGAACCTTTTGCACTTTTGTGTCAAATTATTGATAAAAAAATTTGATTTGCTTTTAAGTACTTAAATACTTGTGTTTTATTTAAAAACAAAAATAAACTGTTATAAACTATAGGCTATAAATACAACCTCTTCATTGCCACTAGATGACCCGTGCTGCTCCGCAGCATTGAAATTAATAATAAAAAAATAAAATACTAAACTTAATAAGGGCGGTACAACTTTAATTAAACCCTTATAGGGCTGCTGGATTAATTTCGCCTTATGACCAAATTAAAGTATAACACATTCCATATAACACAGAGAAAATCGCCCCGATGTATTTTTTTCCGTTTTTAAAATCAATTAATTCAGAACAATATCCACACACTTCCTAAAAGCACCTACAGAGAAAGCACGTACATTTGTTAACTCATATGTATCACAGCGTGAATGAGGCTTTATTAAGAATGTTTTATTAACAACAATATTTCTTGTAAAATAGACATCTCTGTCGGTAGAATTGCATGTACGCATATTCTCAGGAGTAGTTCCCTCCATCTGGTAATCTTTATTAATATTACGACTTTTATAATACTTCCTTCCAAACAATGTTTGCTGTTCGTCCACCTTTTGATTTAGTTTCTACTTTTACAGTATCGAAAGATTTCCCTCTCGATAAGGCGACATACAACTGACCGTGACTAAATACTGGTTCAGGCAAGTACACACCAACTTGATCAATCGTTTGGCCCTGCGCCTTGTTGATGGTCATGCAGAACGCAACCTTTATGGGGAATTGTCTTCATTTGAAAGAAAATTGTACTGTAGAATCTGATGGAGAGAGATCAATGCGGGGTAATAGTGCACGTTGTCCAATATTTGTGCCAGTTATGATTTCTAAGTCTAAACTGTTTTCATACATTTTCTTGACAATAAGTCTTGTTCCGTTTAGAAGACCTGCTGTGTAGTTTAAATTTCTTAATAACATCACAATGGCACCTTCCTTTAAGACTAATTTGTGAGAAGGCAAACCAGTCATCTCAAGGCTGTTGAGGAATTCAATAGGGAATTGCAATAGTTCACTGTCATCATCTGTAATTAGTTTATTCACACTTATATATGTTTTGCTTGAGCCTGGGATGAGGTCTAAAACTCTTTTATTGATTTCCTCACAATGCTCATTCTTTGGTGCTAAAATGGCACATTTTGATAAGTACGATGAGTCCATAGGCGTTTGTAGGTTTTTTCCATAAATTTCTGAAACTATGTCTGAATCAGAGATAAGTGGTGGGGGTAAGTCCACAGATTTGTCATCAATTGTTGGGTATTCCCCATTGCCAATTTCGAGCAAAAAGTTAGCAAAATCTAACTCATTAGTTTTAGCCCTCATATTTTTTGTTAATTTAAAAATTTTGAATAGTGGCCATAGGTATGAAAACTTAATTGAATTCTGAACAGTAGAGGCTCTAGATGAATGAGGCACAACCGGCAACACTTGCCGGAAATCTCCACCTAAGATAATGATTTTCCCACCAATGGCACATCGTTATCCATTATATCTTTCAGTAGCCGGTTGACACACATTAGAGCATATTTGTTGGCCATAGGTGCTTCATCCCAAATTATTAATTTTGCAGAACGAATGATAGAAACCTCTTTACTGTTGACTTTTAAGCCGGAGACAGAATGTTCATTCAAATTCAGTGGTAATTTAAATCGGCTATGAACTGTGCGGCCAAAGGGAAGTAACATAACAGCAATCCCAGTCTATGC